CACACTCCATTTTTAATGACCCCTGGCCCAGTGCAAACGTCTGAGCTTGTGGAGCTTGCTTAGAAATGGCTTCCTCTTTGCACTGTAGAGTTTCAGCTGGCAACGGTAGATGGCACGTGGATTATGTTCACTGACGATGCTTTCTGGAAGTATTCCTGAGCCCATTCTGTTATTTCCTTGACAGTGGCATTCCAGTTTGAGGTGCAATGACATTTAAGGGCCCGGAGATCACGAGCTTTCAGTAGAGTTTTACGGCCTTGACCCTTACGCACATCGATTGTTCCAGATTCTCTGAATCTTTTGATGATGTTATGCATGGTTGATGATGATAACTTAAAAGTCTTTGCTATTTTACGCTGGGTAACACCATTCTGTTTTTGCTGCACTATCTTTCTGCGCAACAATAGTGGAATTGGTGATCCTCTTACCATCTTGGCTTCTGAGAGACACTGCCACTCTGAGAAGCTCTTTTTATACCCAATCATGTTGTCACTTGACCTAATTAGTGTTAATTGGTCTTCCAGTTGTTCGTTATATGCTCAATTTCCTTTTTCCAGCCAGTAATTGCTACTTGTCCCAACTTTTTTGGTATTTGTTGATACTGTGAAATTTTGAATCAACATATTTTTCCTTTAAAATGTTACATTTACTCAGATTAAACTTTTGATCTGTCATCTATGCTATATTACGAATAAAATATTGACATTTGCCATCTCCCCATCATTGCATTCAGTTTTTATTCACAATTTGTTTAGTGTCCCAACTTTTTTGGAATCCGGTTTGTGTATATATATATATATATATATATATATATATATATATATATATATATATACTAAAATAAATATGTCGCCTACTTTGCAGATTTTCACCAATCGTGGGTGTCTGGAACGTAACCCCCCACGATAAGTGAGGGACTACTGTATCTTCTAAAACTAACACAATGATTTTTTCCCCCATTAGGAGGACGTGGGGAGGACTCTAGTGTCATCATCACCCTCCCAGAGTGCTCGGCATTCAGTGACATTCCAGAGGAAGCTTTAGCCAAAGTCTTTACATACCTCACACTCATCCCTCGGTATGCCCTCCATATTTTTTTCTGTCTGACTCTTGTTTCTTTTGAGCTGCAGTGCACCAAAACCACAGCGAGAGCAGCTGCTGTGCTTTTCACTGATCCTCAGCTCAGAGTTAAACATCATATAGATGTCCTTTAAGTCAAAACCTAATTTCCCTCCAGATTAGGGACATTCTTAATTGCAGCAGTTTAAAGACCTGCTGTCTGCTCCAAGTTTGGACAAAAATCTGTTTTGTATAAATGTAACAGCACTAGGAAATATGTAGCTTTGTTTATGTTATCTAACAAAGCATAAAACGTCAAATCTGTGTCCTGTTTACAGAACGAGGCAACCTGGAGTCAAATTTATCATAATTTTAGACCGAAGACTGGATACATGGGCTTCAATCAAAACTGCACTTGCCAGAATAGCTGTAAGTTTCTTTTTGTTTTGTGTGTATGTGTTTACATTATGTCGCTGCACCTTAAAGCAATAGTTCTAGAGAAATAGTTTAATTCTGGTCGAACTGACAAGCTACAGGCTAGTCTGAGTGGAGCCCAGACCAAAGTGGATTGCTGTTTGCTTAAAATGCTAATCTCAATACTTTCATAGCAGTTCATGCAACTGCTATAAAAAAACATAAAAATCGTTGTCAGTTTCAAATTACATGGATATTTACGTGTAATTCTGTAGTTATTTGCAAGTGAAAATAGTTGCAGTGTCAGCTATAGCTCATATAAGTGCAGCCTGTCTTACTGCAGCAAAAATATATTTCTGACAAATAACAAAATTCACTGTAAAGTCTAAATTTCTAAAATGGCATTTGCATGAACATCTTTTAAGTTATTTAAAAAATCTACAACAGGTAAATAAAAAGCTAGTTGTCTTTCACTGAAGGCTAAGCAATGTTTTTACTCACATTTGTCTTTTTTGTGTTTGTATGTCTTTACCGTTAGCATAAAATAATTATAAAGATAGCACAATACAAATAATCACTGGGTATATCTACAACCTGTTAAATTTTGGAGTCAACTCTATTCAAGATGGGCATCACAGTTAAGCAACCCAAGGAAACACAGAATTGGTTAGAGGTCATGTCACAGATATTAAGCTAAAATTTGATGTGGCAGTAAATGAGAATTATTCCCAACACATACTTTGGATCTCACCGACTGGTTGTGTGAGATCAGTTTTTAAAACTTGGTTTTTAACAGTTGGAGCCAACTCATTTTTTTAGTAAAATGTATCAAACCAGTGGATGTATTTTAATGAAACACACAAAAAAAATCACTGCTACGTTCTACACACCACCGCGATATGTGACAAAGTGCAAAGTAGGAACACTGTATTTATTTTAGTGTTTACATATATATATATATTATAACTTTATGAACCCTTCCCACTCTTGTGCAAAGTTCTAAACTCTTAAACCTACATAATTTTAACAACATACGTATATGTACTGTACAGTACTGCTACATTTTACTCACCAGCTCTGCAGACCAACAGTTCTGTTCTGGTTCAGCAGATCTACCCTGCAGCAACGAAGCCCACCGTCCCGTCCAGGTTGATGTGCGTGTAGATAATTGAACTTCAGGATTATTTGCGACTTTCTTGCCAGTTCTGTCAGCTTAATATATACATTGTTACTTCTGACTTTGTGTTGCAAAACTTTCCTTCCATTTCGGCATAAAGCAGCGGCTGGAAGCACTGTTGGCTTCTGGGTAGTGTAGTTCTTATGACTGGCGTTACAGTGTAGGCTTATTGAAAGAAAACTACAAAATGGCGGCACTTGTCGGATTATTATTATTTTTTTAACTCTTTATCCTGTACCGTCCCAATCACATGAGTAATATTAAAGCTTACAATCATTGAAAAACCATGAAAGAGCGAGTCAGCCAGCGAAAGTCGAACCGCGAAGTAGCGAGGGACTACTATATTCCAGTCCAAGATGGATATTGCAGCTAATTGACTACAGCCAAAACACAAAAAAGGCATTAACTTGGTTCAAGTTATCAAATATTTAGCAAGATTTGCTGTGGTAGTGGCAGGTAGTCTTCAACATTCTCTGAGCTCTAATGCATAAAAGCCTTGCATTTATTAGAGAGTTGCTGTCCGTGGTGCTGAAAACCAAGGATTTCAGCATCGAAATACATTTCTCGAGGTATAAACAACATTATTTTTTCCATCTTGGGCCACTTTTCAGAATGGCACATTGTTTTCAAAGAGGCTTCACGTTCAGTCTGTCTCACTGCATATTGCTACAAATGTTATGAGTAAGCAGAAAGCTTCAGAGCGAGGGAGAGGAGGAGGAGGAGGAGGAGGAGGAAGAAGAAGAAGAGGAGAGAGGCTGCAGTAAGCTCTGCCTGCCGCCCTCCACCAAGGAGGAGGCGGCGGCAGCGGTGCCGCTGTCATCCTGGCACTACTTTTCTTTGCTCAGGCGGGAACTTCTGTTCCACAGCGGAGACTTCTGACACCATGAGCGATTGCTTTTACTGCCGAGGAATGCCAGATATCTGCAGGAGCCCGGTAATAAGAGCTAGACTTCTTTAAATCATCATTTGAGGGGAAGCTTTTGGATGGGCAGGGTGAATGCAGCAGCAGCGTAGACTGTGTCTGCACTGCGGCGCACAGTCCGCTTCTGCTTAGTCATGGTGCTGCGTGTGTGTGTGTGTGTGTGTCTCTCTCTCTCTCTCTCGATGGAAAACCATAGTAACTGAACTGATGATTTTTACATCAATACTTATCTTGGATGTCGAGCCAAGACACATTTATATTGCATCTGATGAAATGCTTCGACTAACAGCTTTTTAAAATCCTGCAGAGCTGCATTAATTAGGCATGCACAATATTATGTCCTATTTTGTCCAATCCCTTTAGATTAAAAAATGTTACCTTATGAAGTATAGAGTAAGTCATGTCATTATTAAAAGATCTATTGCTTTAAGGTTTTTTAGGGTTAATTACCGTATATGAATATAGAGATAGAGGTATTTGTGAAACTTAAATTTTGAACTAGTTTGAAGAGACAGTCTACTTCAATCCAAGGAATTAGATTATGGAATAATCTGGAGAGTGATGTTAAAAATGCCAGATCAATGCATATGTTTAAGAGAATGATCAAAGTTGAATTGGTCAAAAAATATAAAATAGCTTAATGTGTATTTGTATGAATTGTTGCTCGAGAAGGAGGTTTTTTTTTTTTTTTTTGTTATTTGAAGATTATTATTGTTTTAAATATTTTTTGGGGTAAAAAGGGGCAGATATAAATTTTTTTTCTACTTTCTTCTGCCTTTCATTTTATTTATGATTGTATTTCTTGTTGTACTTGTATATAAAATGTTGTTTTGTTTTAAAAAATGAGTAAACTTTATAATAATAATATTTATTTTTTAATATAAGGATGAGCCAACGTGCTTTTTAAATATGGAGTCACATTTTGATAATGGAAATGTATTTATTTGTCTCGTAAATTTTTCGTCTGCCAGTGTACATAGGAAAGAAAAGTTTCTAAAATGATTCAGCCTGTGTGAACACAGTGTTGTTGGTCCTGAGCAAATATCAGTGATGTAAAAATGACTGTCCCCCCCCCTCATCAAGGCCTCCTTCCCTGGGAACCTCCATCTGGTCCTGGTGCTCCGACCCACCAGCTTCTTCCACCGTACTGTTACAGACATCGGCTTCCGTTTCAGCCAGGATGACTTCATGCTTAAGATGCCAGTAAGACAGCTCGTCTTCACTTACCAAATATGTTTTATGTCATATCAAGGCATTCTTGTTATGAACCAACACCCCATGAATCAGATGTGGTAAACATGAGAGGTTTCACACCTATTTAAGCTTTAACCCATGTTTCCACACCACAGCATAGAGATTTCATTTTAAATATGATTTCTTATTCTACAACCACTTAAAAAAACAAAACAAATCAGGAAATTCTAATTTGACTTCCTGTTTAGGTGGTGATGCTGAGCTCTGTCACAGATCTGCTACACTACATAGATGAGAACCAGCTGACGTCTGAGTTTGGAGGCACTTTGGACTACTGTCACAGTGACTGGATCGTTTTACGAACCGTAAGCAGATTCCTAAACAAACTGAAGTTAGACTGTGTGTTTGTGCCATTTCATTTTTTTCATAGTTTTCATGAAGGCTGCTGCAAAAATGATCATGTGACTGTCATATTTAGAGGTTTTTTTCATTTTGCTTCCACTAAGGCAATTGAAAGTTTTGCTGTAACGGTAAAAGACATCGCTCAGATGCTGCAGGGCTTTGGTACTGAGCTGGCAGAGAAGGAGCTGCCCGATGAAGGGAAAACCATCGAGCGTCTCCTTGAAAGTCACACGGATAAGTACAGAAAACTCAAGGTGAGGCTTCATTCTAAACACATTAACTAATAAAAGCATGCTGGTGTTGATGTTCTTTTTCTGACCGTTTGGAAGGATGCAATCAGGTCAATTTCAAAGGAGGGTCGCCATCTTCTCTCCAACCTGGAAGCCAGTGGGAAGGAGGATGACTCCCATTGGGATGTGAAGCTGGACTGGGAGACAGTGCAGAGGTGAGAGAGTTCTGCCCTTTTTTTTTCAAATTTTCTTAAATTTCCTCTATACAGCAGTCCCTCATTTATCACTAGAGTTACGTTCCAGACACTCCCACAATAAGTGAAAAACCAAGAAGTAGGAACGCTACGTATATTAATTTTAGTATATATATATATATATATATATATATATATATATATATATATATAT